AAAAAAAAAAAAAAGAAAAAAAAAAAAAGAAAAATCAAAACACTCACAAAATATATTTTTCAAAACTGACTTCTATATGATATTACTGTTGGAACACTTCAATTTGCACAATTATTTTAGATTTACTTTTCATACAAGAAATATTACTTGAAACTCATTTAACTCATTTAAGTAATATTTCCAACTAAAGTATATCCCATGCTTAAAGAATAAAAATAATAGGCCTCACTATCAAATAATCAACTATAATATAAATATATAAACCAGTTTTTAGGAACCTTAAATTGAATTTCATTTATGCTAAATGCTACTGAATATATCAACAAGAATCATTTAGTAATAATAATGCTGATAAATTTATATTAACCTCCTGCTATATAGAACAAAATATACATTAAAATATTTAGAGAAAAATTTAATTGGTATTTGCATTACTCTGTATTAAGAAATCACAGTTGCATTATTCCTACAAAACATTTTTTCTCATTTTTCTCATTACTGCTGGTGAAACTAATACATGTAGTTTTATTAATATCTGTCACTTCCTATACATCCTAATTTCCTTAGTATTTCTCTAACACTAACCAATATTGACTAGTGAATGCTTAATAAAAGTGTGTCTTCCTCTAGTACAAATTGATTCTTTCATAAAATATTTCATGCCCACTGTGTGCTAGCTTTTGTGTTAAAAGACTTTGGATGCAAAGCTCATATTATAGCAAAGGCAAAACATAATTGTATCAAGGTTTGCTATGCAAGGTAAGTGCAGTGACAGAAATATCCCTAAAAGGATTGTTCAAATCAAGCAGGAAGGTCAGTAACAGGGACATGTCATTCAATTAAGTCCATCTCCTGTATCAAGAAGGTGATGGCTTGCCACTATCTGGTTTGCACTTTCCTGTCTTGGCAAAGCAGTGCTGATAGGTATAGACAATATCAAGACATCTCTGAGAACTACAGTCACCATCCTGCTTCCTCACTTCACGAGGTTTAGCATCACTGCATTTAAACACGTCAGCCTAATCTAAGTTGGAAAATATAAACACGTCCAGCTGTTAAGACCAGGCAGGCACATGGTAAATAAGACATGAATTAGAAATTTACAGGCTGACACACACAAAGATTAGATTCCTAGCTGGGGTTTTTAATCATAAGTAGTACATTTATTTTTTGGTAGACAGGTATCCAAAGAAAAATATGACATCTAAAAGTATAAATGCTTACCATATTACATACTAAATTAGAAGGCAAGTTGATTCAATATACTATAAATCACATCTTTTAACTGTAACAGCCTAAGACCCCTCCCAAGAAAAACCAAACTCATAAGAAATTGATTTTTGATAATATTATATGCCAACTCATAATTAACATTTATATGTCAATATCCACCTAAAATAAGGACTTCACACATAGAAAAGCAGCGTATATTGCATTTAAATTTATAACTGGTTACTTGCTACCCATAGTGCCTCAGGAATCAGATAAAACAGACCGAGTTACTTAAACAACATGTATGTTCTTAAGAGTGCTTGATAGGAAATCAAAGCACGTTCATTGTTTTCTCCCATACATCAGACAGCTTTTAAAAGAAGCCAAATACCAAAAAACTAAAGATAGACATCATACATCACCCATTTGTGATAGTCTGGTTTTATAAATATATCATTTCAACCAGAAGAGCCTCATTTGAAATGCAACACTACCCACGTATTTGATACACACACCACTCTTTCAGACTATTTGTAGGTGAGTAGGTGAGTTCAATTTTTTCTAGTCAGGGTGACCTCATAAGACTTGGGCATGGCCCAGCCTCGCTCCGAGGTGAAATCGAGGCAGTGGGATCACCCAGCAAAGTTGTTTTTCTCCTGCTGCCTAATAACAGGAATGACTAAAGCCAAGCAGAACGAAGATTGCCCAGCCTTTGTCAAATGGGATTGGTGAGGAGTTCCCTCTCTCACCAAGGAGTGAGAAAAGCTGAGATACCATACAGTCTATATCCTGAAATTGTGGGTCCTCAAGCATAAGCCTCATCACTTTTGTAGACTAAGGGATTGTCGCTGAAACCTGGGTTTGAGATAACAGCGGTTTTGAGAAGTTTGATTTATACATTCCAACCCACTTGAATGTCGCCTTAGAGTGCTGAGACTTGAAGACTCTTATGAATCTCCCTCCCCCGCAGGCCAAACAGCATTGCCTCCCAAATTCCAGCTTATAGATTCACTTATTTGGCAATTTTTCTCTTGGGGGAGAAAACAATGGATTCTTTCAGTCTTCTCTTATCAACAAAAGGCCCTAGACGAAGAAACAGTCCTTTCAATCACATCCTTTATGACTTCTTGATCATGAGTGGGCCTTGCGGGTGGGGGGAGTGAGGGCCAGGAAGGGGAGAGGTGACAGGCAACTCACCTCTTTGAGCTGCTCCAGCTCCTGTTTGAGGCTGTCGTACTCAGCCTCCAGCTCGTCATACTGCTGTTTGAGGGTCAGCTTCTCCTCCAGCACCACCAGCCCGTACTCAGCAGCCTGGATCTTCTCATGGGTGGTCTCCGTGAGCTCCTTGGTCAGCCTCTCTATCTCAGTCTTATAATGGTCCACCGTCTGCAATACCTCTTCTGCGGCCATAGCCCCCGGTGGATGGATGCAGGAGAGGGTGACGGGGTGAGGGACAGAGATGCAAAGCTGGCGGGGAAAGGGAGAAGGAAATGGAGAAGGATGGGTGGAAATGGAAAAGAAAGTGCCGCTGGATGAATGAGCAGCGCGACGCCCCGCCGGCTCTTGTGGCAGCGGCAGCGGCAGCTACACCACCCGAGAAACTGACGAGAAATGCAACATGGAGATCAGAGGGTCAGGGGCGAGGCGGCAGCGGCCGCCGCATGTGTCCTCGGGGCCGGCCCCTGCGTGCGGTTAGCAGCGGTGCGGCATGGCCAGGGCTGCGGCGGCCGGGGGCGGCGAGGGGCTCCGGATTCTGCTTATTCAGAGACGCCCGGCCGCCATGTCTCCCGGGCCGCGTCACTGCAGTCTCGCCCTGGGTCTGGCGCGCTCCGTCCGGCTCGCGGCTAGCTCGCTCGCTCCACCTGCTCCCTCTGGCCCTGCAGCAGCCGGTGCGGAATGATGCAGTCTCGGGGCCGGCTCCCTCCCTTCCCGCGTGGCGGCGGCTCCGAGCAGGGGGCGGGGAGCGGATGGAGTCAGCGCGGGGGGAGGAGGGAAGGACCAGACGGAAACATCCCGAGGCGCCTCCCGCTGGGCGCTGCACCGCGAGGCGCACTAGGCGGAGGCGCAGGCGACGGGCCCGGGACGGGGAAGCGCTGGGGCGCGCGCGGCGGGTGAGCCTCCGCCCTGCCCAGCTAGCAGGGGCGGGAGCTCCTCCCAGGGCTTTGTCCCCGCGGCGGTGGAAGACCCCGAGAGCGGCGTGGGCGCCCGGGCTCTCTTGCTACGTCCAGGGCCGAAGCTAAGGAAACTGTCTGGAACGCCTTCTTCCGAGAAAAGCAAACAAAACTACCGCGGTGGCGGCCCGCGCATCCTCCTCGTCCCCTGGGACGTTCTCGTCACCCAAAAGAACGCTGGTTTTCCAAAGCCTTCAACACGCACCTCAAGGCGCCCTCCTCCGTCGTCCCCGTTTCTCCCTGCCTCTCCCCAGTCTGGCCTGGGCCACCTAGCACTCTCATCAAATAACCTTACCATCCTCTCAGGACAGTCCGCTGAGATATTGCTCGCCCTCGCCCACAAGAGCGCTAACCATTCAGGAAACTTCTGGCTACCAACGGTGTATCTTGCCCCAATAGTTTCCATCAAAGCAACTTACTCTATGTCTTCAATAAAGGAAAACTGCACGAAATTCCCTGTATAAGATACCAACAATGCCCTACAATAGCATTTTTTAAACAATAAGAGCTAGGAGTTCCTGAGACCAGTGCCAAGCATTCTCCTAAGTACGCAACATGCCTTCTCTCCAATCCTAACAATGCTTTGAGGTAGGAGCCATTATCCTGTTTGCAGGGGGTGAAAGAAAGGCAAAGGAGATGGGGTGATTTGTCCAAAGTCAGCCCGCTCTGGAATCGTAACTCTGGAGTACTAAACGGGATCATTATGTTGGCTTCATCTTCACTCATTACTCACACAAACCCAGCAGCTAAATGTTACATGCTTGTAAGATAACCACATTAATCTATATGAAAAGTGTTGATAAACGGTTACAAAAGGAGATAAAAGCAAAGTAAGAGTGGAGGAAATAGTGAAGGGATGAGAATCAAGAGGAAAGAACGCAATAGGAGAGAAAAGGAACAATTTCTGTGTAACGGGAGGCTGTGAGACCCACATATCAGTGGGTCTTTCCAGTTCCTTCCCTCTCTTCTTCTGCATGGCACCTATTTCAGAGCTGTTTCTCAGTGGCCAGGTGTTCAACACACACACGTTTTCTAAGTTAGAAAGCAGGACCCAACTATCCCATCATTGTGTACCTGGTAAAGAAAAAAAGACAATTGTTGGCTGGATTTGGTGGCTTACACCTGTAATCCTAGCACTTTGGGAGGCCGAGGTGGGTGGCTAATTTGAGGTCGGGAGTTCGAGACTAGCCTGACCAACATGGTGAAATCCGGTCTCTACTAAAAATATCGAAATTAGCCAGGTATGCTGATGCATGCCTGTGATCCCAGCTACTTGGGAGGCTGAGGCAGGAGAATCACTTGAACCCAAGAAATGGAGGCTGCAGTGAGCTGAGATGGCACCACTTCACTCCAGCCTGAGAGAGAGACTCCATCTCAAAAAAAAAAAATTTTTTTTAAACGACAATTGTTGATGGCGTGGGAGGAAAAGCAAATGACAGTGCCCTTCCAAAGCTTCCACTAACGGACTGTCTGGATGTGCTTTCCGTTCATTGCTTCACAAACCAGACAAGGTTCCTTCTAAACACCAGTGATCACAGCAGAATATTCTCTTGTGACTGTCTGATCTAAAAATAAAACAAAAGAGTATTCTCTTGTGATTGTCTGATCTAAAAATAAATAAATAAATAAAAGGAGAAAACATTCCAAATGTGCAGCACCATAAATTCCAGCCTTGTGGAGAAGCCGATGGTAATGACTACAACATCCAACCTATGTTTCCTTATCTCACATTCCAGGTGGGAAGCCCCTCCTGCGTGCTCCTGTGACATCTGACCTCTGACACGTTTATGAATGATGATGAACTGCCAAAGAGAAAAGAAATGGAATCTGGAATTGCAGGTAGCTAACCTGCCTCCTTCCCAGGAAGCCCCTGGCCATGCCTCACTCCACAAACTGTAAGCATAATCCTTCCAAAGAGATCCTAAGACTTGGACTAGGTTGCCTGCGCTTCACTCTCCTTTGGATCAAACTAAGAACAGAGTTTGCCTCTGTGACTTTCCTTTTTTCTACGTTTCCATGGTGGCCCAGCCCCTATGCACTATCCTGCCCCATTTATCTGATTGACACACTTTTGTCACTTGTCATTTCTGTCTGATTTCAGGCATGTCTTGCACACTATTCTCACACTTTAAGATGTTGCTTAGTTGAAGTTTGATCCTTTATATGTTAGTATTTAACGTAAAGAAGATAAACTTATTTTCTTTTTTTTTTCTGAGACAGGGTCTCCATCACTTAGGCTGGAGTGCAGTGGCGTGATCATGACTCTCTGCGGCCTCAACCTCCTGGGCTCAGGCCATCCTCCCACCTTAGCTTCCCAAGTAGCTGGGACTACAGATGTGTGCCACGATACCCAGCTAACTTTTTTTTTTCTGGGTGGCTGGCATCCAAAACTTTTTAAATTTTTGTAGAGATGGGGTCTGCCTATATTGCCCAGGCTGGTCTTGAACTGCTGGGATAAAGGGATCCTCCCACCTCAACCTTCTAAAGTTCTGGGATTACAGATGTGAGCCACCATGCCCAGCCAAATTTATTTTCCTATACACCATGCTGTTCCAGTACTGCATAGTTACATTTCCCTCTTTTTTTGTATATGCCATATGTATTA